CACTCACTCACTCACTCACTCACTCCCTCCCTCCACACTCACTCACTCCCTCCACACTCACTCACTCCCTCCACTCTCACTCACTCACACTCTCACTCACTCCACTCTCACTCACTCCACTCTCACTCACTCCACTCTCACTCACTCCACACTCACTCACTCACTCCCTCACTCCACTCCCTCACTCCACTCCCTCACTCACTCACTTACTCGATGGTTGGGCTGAGTCTGTGGCCGATATGAACGCCAACTACCTGGTGGCACAGTTGAAGATGGATGAATACTTCGAGAAATTGCAATACCCTCCAAAGAGGAGCCAGGCTAGCGCGACAGTGGAGAAGAAGTGGGCGGGCCATGTTTGCGGCCAGTTGTCATGCTGGCCGGCCAGGCAGCGCAGAGGAGATTTGCTGCGTGGGCGGCCGTTTGGCTCTTGAGGAGCGACGTGTTTTGGTGGAGGGAGCCAAGACGCTTCGCGTGACAAGGTTTTCGCCATTGGAGTGCAGGCAGAATGAGTGGATGATCGTGGCCGCCTCAGATGCAGGCTTCACAGGCATGCCGACAAAGGGCATCCTTCCGGCGCGGCTAGTGCCGATCTACATCTCCGGCCTGCTGAAGCGAGTGGTCAGGTCGTCCCTTGCAGCGGAAGTCAGCCATGCGGCCGACTTGGATCTGGCGGTCACCACGTGACGCGCCGGAGGCGAAGGCTCCGGGCCCACAAGCGGCGTTACCGACTACGAATAGCTCTGGATCGGGCATCCTGCCAATGCGCTAAAAGGGGTAGAGGTATCGTTCGCTCAGCCTGCAGGCTTCAGTGCTAGGTGAAAAGTAGTGTGGCGGCGTCCCGGCTGCCATTTTTAGATTTCTTGCCAGCGTGTGTCCTTCCGAAACCTACAGGGTTTGTTGCGCTTGTCAGCCGGCTGACTTCTCACTGACCAAGCTTATCCAAGATTCAACTATATATAACCCAATTGAGCAGGCCCCGCCCATCGAAACAAGGAAGGGTTGTGTCGTTTTAAAGGTTAAAAGCTACTTGTTTGCCCAGAGAAAACATGCGTTATTTTCACGCTAATTTGCATTCGTTGCCTTTGCTGGCTCAACGGTTGCCTACTCCCCAGGTTGCTGGTCAGACGGCCCTACCTGGCCCCATCTTTTGGGTCACTTTGGCCATGAAGACCTCAAGATCTTGAACTTTGCCCACGGCGGTGCGACCACCTGTCAGGATGTAAATGTGCCTCCAGGCCAACCCTCAACTCTGGTTTAAAGCTGAAGGCGTTGGTCTACTACTGCCTCAGAGAAACCTAACAAGATACCTACGCGAGATTCTTGCATTGATGCAGGGCCTCTATGTTTGACCAACTCCAAAGAATGAGATAAATGGAGAGGTGTGGGAGCGTTTCGAGTCTCTTCCATCCGGTTCAAGAGATACGAAGTCCTGTTTATGTAGAGAGCGAGATTGCTTTTGAGTTTCTTCTCGGTTGACGATATTGATATGCTGGGAAGAAAGAGCTGCCATTGCTGCAGGTCTACTATAGAAGTTCCTGCAAGCCCTAGAAAGCCAGTTGCACCGCTTGGTCGTTTGACACGTGTCCCTGCAGATAGGTTACGTGGCCATGGCAAGTGAAGTAGCCCTTGGTGGGCATAAGCGCCGTTCCAGAGGCGTAGCGCAGCAGATCCGACAAGCAAGTCAGATTCTGTTGAAAGAAGACTGGCAACTCGAAGTTGTTCAATCAACCCCGTCCTTTGTGTTTGCCTTGGTTTTGGGTTCGTTGGTCTCTGACAGTGTTATTAGACGTGAAAACAGATTGCATCATAGTTCCAATGAAGGAACGTGAGTTTCAGTGGTCTTCAGGAATGAATACTTAGCCCTTGACTTGATGGAACGGCAAGGTGAAGCGTCAGCAACAGGTATTGTTTAACCGTCGACCAGGGATGAGTACTTAGCCCTTGACTGGTGGAACGGTAAGGTGAAATGTCAGCAACAGGTATTGTTTAAACCGTGAATTTACAAAATTGAGAATTCCGGGACAACATCAGGTACATGAATCACCATGAAGCAAACCAAGGGACCACCGGAAAGTAACTAAGCAACAGTTAAAGCAGGCGCAGGTGGGTGATCAGTCCACCCTTCCCTCGTCATACCGTAGCTTCATTGCGTACGGTGGGTATGACGAGCCGTACGCCCCTGCTGGAGCATGGAAAAGTGAGGGCTCCTAGATACGGAGGTTGACGCGCGCAGTGAGCCGCATAGCGGCGCACTCTCGCCCCAAAGAGGAAACAACGCAGTAGACAGCGGTGGCGTTTCGTAGGTTCTAGTAGTTACCCAAACGCACGCGCAATTTTAATGCGGAAACAACGCAGTAGACAGCTTTGGCGCTACTTAGGTTCTAGACATTCCCGAGTAAGTTGGCGAGCGCTTGTTTAAAAGACCTTGCGCTTAAAAAGCCTCTAGAAGAGTGCCAGACCTAGAAAGAGAAACGAAAGGCAGGAGAGAAAGAAACGAAAACCGAGGGGTCGACTAAATGAGCCTCAAGATCAACCTAACAAGCCTGAAGAAACGCCAAACAAACGAAGAAAACGCAAACAAGAAAAGGGGGGGCGGGGTTAGGGTGTGTTTGAAAATCCGAAGTCATGGAAAATGTCGCATGAATCCACATGGAAACTCGCGTGAGACGAAACGTATGTGATTGACGTATGATCCAGTGAGCGATTTCCGTGAGCTCGGCAGCTGCGATAACAGTTGATCCGTGAACGTCAGCTGAACAGAAAGCGGCTGCCGGTGCACATATGCTTCTCAGAAAGACAAATCCGGAATGGCTTCAGCACCTTGCGGGGATCACAATGCACACTCAAGTGTGAAGATTGATAGTTCCAATGAAGGAACGTGAGTTCAGTGGTCTTCAGGAATGAACACTTAGCCCTCGACTTGATGGAACGGCAAGGTGAAGCGTCAGCAACAGGTATTGTTTAACCGTCGACCAGAAATGAATACTTATCCCTTGACTTGATGGAACAGTAAGGTGAACCGTGAATTACAAAATCCAGGACAACATCAGGTACATGAACCACCATGAAACAAAGCAAGGGACAGCAACTAAGCAATGGTTGAAGCAGGTACAGGTGGATGATCAGTCCACCCTTCCCTCGTCGTACCGGGTATGACGAGCCGTACGCCCCTGCTGGAAAATGGAATAGTGAGGGCTCCTAGATATGGAGGTTGACGTCGGTCACGAACCCGAGCAAGATGTTCTCCGAATCTAAGGTACTCGCGTATTCGCATTTGTTCCAAAAAGTATACTATACATTTTTATCAGAGCAACTCAGGCAAGACTCATGTACGTTAGTCATTGTCGGTCCGGTGATCAATGACTTTCTATTCCATGGGACCGTGGCAATCGGGTCAACAGCAGAGGAGGCTATCACAAGTCCATACGTCTCCAATCACAGACAAATCCTTGCAGATTTGCTCGACATAGGAGCAGGGCTGATCTGAGAAAATATGCACTCCATTCCATGCTTTGTTTGTTGGCGGTGAAGCGTTTGTGTTTTGGTTCAAAGGTGTAGTGAGGCTTCAAGCGTACCCAGGAGTTGACATGGATCGAATCATTTTCACGGGCTTTCCTGGCATTGAGTGTGCCCCATTCTGCGAGAACTTTGATGTTGACCTTGAGTGGTTCCGCCGTCAACAAGATGCTTGGATTTGCTCAAGTGATATCTCCTCCTTTGTTATGCAGTGCTCCTTCAAAGACCCGCAGTGGGGTAGTTGTCAATACTGTCGAGATGTAGAATGCAAACTGTGTATCTCTTTGGGTTTTTGACATGGTTTTGCAAGGATGTTGTAAACGAGCTCATCGAGGCCCTTGGTCCACGGCGATGGCGCCTGGAACTTTTGGTCAGACGCCAATTTCAAATCCATGGAGCACACTGCCTGCGGTACATTTGTGAAGTATTGCCATCCCTCAACCCAGAGGATTTGGGCAAAATTGAAATACGTGGGGCAGGTTGCAGTGAGATTGCAATTTGGTACGATGAGATTCATCCAGCTGCTGCTTTGCACTTGGACATGGCTCAGGATTTTGCCAACAATTTCTTGGTAAGGCCGCATTCTGACTCACCGGTGAAAACGGAGCTGCTACTGCACAGACAAACGACATTTGCTGCCCGGAGGGTTCGGTCTATCAACTGCTCAAGAGTTGCCTGACTGAATCACTGAGGAGTGGGAAGACCTACAAGAAGAAGCTTGCAGAAGTGTACTGCTGCCTTTTTTTCAGCTTGAGCGGTCAACATCAGAATATATTCCGAAGTATGAAATACGCTCAATAGCTGACGAGACATTTTGTGAAATACCTAATTAGTATATATGTATATACATACATATGCACATTACTTATGCAAATCTAGCTGATAGATAGACAGTTTCTGCTTAGCCACTTCAAGACTTCAATCCTGGCCAAGCAGCGCGTCCTTTGTTGAGGGGTAGGAGAAGTTTTGGCTCAAGCTGATTGTTTTGATCGGCCACACAGATGCAGCCATGATGGATCACTCCTGGGGTGGAAATAGAAATCCAACATCTCTGAAATCGAAAGCTCCGCTATAAAATTGAAGGGCTTCCAGCAAGAGAAGGATAGAATGGGATGGAACCTTCCGTGAATGTTTGAACTAGCGCGCGTTGTTGGTTTCTGCTTCTCGAGCCCAAGACGGCCAAAACAATCAACTAGCGCCTGCTTTGCACCTGCTTTCTGTGCCTCCTTGTGTCCACGATTGTACCAATGGCGAGGCGGAGTGGTCCTCTGGCCTCGGCGCTGTGGGCGCTGGGAATGCTGTGGCCGCTGCTGCTTTTGCTCAGCCGCCCAAGCTACCACCTGAAAGGCTGCCTGGATCCTGCATGGCTCGGAACGCTTAGAGTCCTGGCAGCAGTTCCGCGTCCTGGATGGTCGCAGACCCCAACAAATTATCCTCCCATTGATTGGTGTGCGGTGAACTCCAAGCATGCCAAGATGATCCCGTTTCTTTTCCCTGTCATGGTTGAGATTGAATCAAAGCGGCCTCCAACATTTGAACGAGATTAGATAGAAAGAAAGACAGAAAGAAAGAAAGAAAGAAAGAAAGATAGATACTGTAGATAGATACAGTAGTTGTTTTTCCCCAGATAGCGTGAGCTATTGGAGTTCATACTTCAAGTATAGGAAGAGATGCATGTGTGCCCTTTCGAGGCTGGGTGCTGTAGGGTGCCGCTGCTTGGGTGCTGGTGCCGCTGCTGTGTGCTGCTGCTGTGTGCGCGTGGGAGCTTGGGTGCTGGTGCCGCTGCTGTGTGCACGTGGTAGCTTGGGTGCTAGTGCCGCTGCTGTGTGCTGCTGCTGTGTGCGCGTGGGAGCTTGGGTGTGCGCGTGGGCTTGGGTGCTGGTGCCGCTGCTGTGTGCGCAAGGGAGCTTGGGTGCTGGTGCCACTGCCTGTGTGTGACTGTTATGCGCGGATGCTGGTGCCGCTGCTGTATGCGGCTGCGGTGTGCGTGTGGGAGCTTGGGTGCTGGTGCCGCTGCTGTTGCGTGCGCGTGGGAGCTTGGGTGCTGGTGCCGCTGCTGTGTGCTGCTGTGCGCGTGTGTGAGCTTGGGTGCTGGCGCCGCTGCTGCGTGCGCGTGGGAGCTTGGGTGCTTGCGCCGGTGCTGTGTGCTGCTGTGCCGCTGCTGTGTGCGTGTGCGCCGCTGCTGTGTGCGACTGTTGTGTGCTTGTGGTGTGTGGGGGTGTTGGCGCCGCTGCTGTGCGGCGGTGGTGTGTGCGCGTCCTATATGGACTCAGAGCCGGGCCGGCGCTTTCTTCAGTTTTGAGCAGAAGCTGATGTGTTCCCAAATCATGTGGAGAACACTTGCCGAAGCAGATCTTGTTTCGGTTCAGACTCGGAATCAACTTCCAACACAAAATCGAAACACATGACTCTTTCACAGACTTCACGCGCACCGAACAACAACAGCAACAACAACAAAAACAAACATATGATAGGTCTGAGGTTGTTGGACTTGTTCCGCCGCCGTGCGGACATGTGTCGGTGATGAACTTACCGCGCCCCCACTACGATGGACGTTATGAGATGCCGTGGACGACGGGACGGGGTAGAACTTTGCATGGACGGAGGCCGGGTCGATACAAGTATCCTTTATACTTTATACTTGTCAGTATTGTCTTCCCGACAAGTACCTTATTGTTGTATTGTCTGCTTGCGATTGTCCTCATTGTTCTTGCGATTGTCTATCATTTTTGAGGTGGAGTGTTGCGGAAGCACCTGCTATTAATGAGGCAAGTTAATACCTCTATTTTTTCTGCTCCTTATCAGCCTTATCATTTGGACATGGTTTCGAAGATAAAACCAACGTGGATCCTATGGATCGAAGCAGTCAGCTCGTGTGCGCTGAGGAGCTCTTGTCCACTTTCTCTCCCAGGAGATCTTGCTGTGGCATGACGTGGACTTGTGCGCCGGCGGCCTCAAGATGTATGATGGTGGGCTTGAATTCGGTGTGATTGAGCTAGACCTAGACACCACACTACAACCCTACTACTACTACTACTACTCCTGCTACTACTACTACTGCTACTACCACTACTACTACTACTACCACTACTAGAGGTACGGGTACTACAAGCCGACAACACCCCCCTGCGGGAGCGGCCCCGCTCGCTCAGTGAGCGGGGCCCGCTCCATTGTAGTAGTAGTAGTCGTCGTGGTGGTGGTAGTAGTAGTAGCAGTAGTAGTAGTGGTAGTAGTAGCAGTGGTAGTGGTAGTGGTAGTGGTAGTAGTAGTAGCAGAAGCAGTAGTAGTAGTAGTAGCAGTAGTAGTAGTAGTAGTTGTTGTTGTTGTATTTGTAGTAGTTGTAGTGGTAGAATTTGTGGAGCTAGTAGCGCTGGTACGAATACTAGAAGCGGAGCGGGCCCCGCTCCC